GCAGCAGCAGCAGCAGCAGCGCCGGCCACAACAAGTGCCCACCGGTCCGGCGATTCGACCGGAACACCGCACCCCGAAACAACTGAATGGTGCCGGCAAGTCCATATGCTGTCCGGGAGAGCAGCTGCTTTGAAGTTGGAGCTGATGCCAAGCCCGAGGGAACTGCGCTTCGGGGTTTTTCTTATGCTGCTGTTGCAGTGGCCCTTGCTTTGTCGCACCGGCGCGTCCCGTCCCCCACACAATATATCGAGTCGGGACCGGCATGCGCGGTGGGCAGAAGCAAGTGATACCGTGGAAAAACTCAGGAAGAGGGTCCAGGTGAGGGACCAACGGGTGGACCTTGTGGCCGTGCTGCGCTAGGCCTTTTCACAAAAGATTGCGGTGCGCATACGTCGGGTGGCCAGTCCTTAGCCAGAGACAACGACCTTGGCAACGTGAAAGTGCGCGAAGAGCTGTGATCGTGCCAGTTCAAAGCTTGGCCAAAGCAACTGATGCAACAAGCTTGACACAAGTGTGATAAAGAAGGTCAGCGGCTTTGGGAAACTCGAAAACCGGAAGATGCCCGAATGTGGTTACGACGTGCATGCAGCGCAACGCAGCCCATGACGCTCAAATCGCAACACACACACACAACAGGATGTGACACTCAAACTTGGCAGGACAAGTCGCGGCTCTACGTCCACAGCTGCAAGGCCGATCGTGGGCCCTACTCCAAGCGCATGCGGCCGCGGCCTTGGATGACCGTTCCAGAGTCTGCTCAACGATTGCGTGCATTTGGCGGGATGGCACATTTTCTGTAGCTTTCATGCACGTGCGCTCTCTTGACTGAGGCCTGTTTCAAAGGGTCAGGGTCATCCGTACCGACGGTGACGCGGCTGCAGCCAGCTGCCGTGCCTGCTGTGCTGCCAGCGGGTTTCTTGCGCCAGTCTTCGTCTTCATCTTGAGGCGGCAGACACACTTGGAGATCATCCTGCGAGAAATGTCAGACGAGATGATGGCCGCAGTCTTGGTGGGAAGTTGGAGTGAGGGCATACGCTGTCGTTGCCTTCTCTGACTGACTCGTCGTGTTCCTGAGATGAAGAGTGAAGAGTTCGCCTGAGGGGGCGGCATTCGCAGTAGAATGGAGGTGTCGGCTCAGCCCAAGCTAAGCCCCTCTCCACATCTCTCCCACGCCTCCTGCATGAGAAGCCCCCACCTAGCTGACAGCTCACCCTGCTGCGAACTGTGACTGCGCGCTGCAGGATCATTGAAAAGGGTGCATTTCTGAAGACTCCTGAAGTGAAGTGATGTGCCATTTTGAGGGTTGCTTACCATAATTATAATGGGCCCCCAAAACCCTATTCTACTTTTTCAGGCCCCTACATTATGTAATTTGATGCTCCCCTTTCGGTGCCTTCTTTTTGAAGCCTTGGCTCCGGGCCATCGCGAGTGGGCCGTCTCTTTCGCAATGTTGCGAAAGCGAGGCGGGAAGGAGGACGTCGTTCTGAGATCCGAAGTCCTCTGAGCTTTTGCATCCGCTTTTTGTTTTGGGCTCTTGTTCCCCAGGCACCAGGCTTCTGCCCCATGGTGCTTTGGCTGCCATCGCACTCGCGCTCTGCGTGGTCGGAAGGCACGGGGTCTTCTCCAATGGCCGCGCTGGGCTGATGGCGCGGCTCGTTTTGAGAGGCTAACCGATGCCGGCGGAAGCTTGCTGTCAGCAGCGGGCTCATGAGCGCACATGTCTGCTGAATTGTGCAAAGGCCCTCAAGTCAAGTTGTGCGGCACATGCGCTGATAAAAATAAAATGAAGCAAACTTGCTGTCTTTCTTGGCAAAGTAGACACGAACAAACCGAAGCGAAACCTTCAAGTGAGCTCTTTAGGCCAACTTGGCCGATGCAGAGCTCCGGGCTGAAAACGGAACCATAGACCCGGGCAGCTTTCGCAAGGAGACTCTTGGCTTCGTGCCAGCGGATGGGTGTCGTCGATCGTGTCCGAACAGCCAGACTGCTTGTAGGGCAGGGCTCCGGGGCAGGAGCAATAAGCCCCACAGCAGTTTCTGGCGGCATGTGCTTGTGATCATGATGCCACTAGCTTCGGCTTTTGGCGGAGAGTATTTGACCTTTGCTCTCGGATGGTCGTCAAGCGATATAATAGCCAGAATCCCGAACGAGATTCGCATCCGCACTCCTGCTGAAATCGCCTTCGAAGCCTGTGTCACTGTTTTGGGACTTTTTTGGGACGTGCGGGGCTGCCTGCTTCGACGTATTTCGCCATGCATCCCGAGTCCCAGGTCTTCGTGCCCTCGCCACCAGTGCGCTCGGTTCGCTCCGTGCGTTCTGCGGGCTCGGAGCTTGGCAAGTTCCTCATAGCGGCCATGGCGGCAGCGAGACGCCTCCGGGTCCGGGTGTCTCCGCTCCGAGGTACGATTCGCTGTCGAGTAGGCGTCAAGCGCAAGGCCTGCATGGTCGGCACAGCTGCGGGGGTCCGGGGGGCACGGTATGTCACGTCTCTTCTCGGTGGGTCAGGCTCAAGAGAAAGAGGGCGAAGCAGCAGAGGAAGAAGAAGAAGAAGATGAGGAGGACGTAGACGATCTGGACGTGTGGGCCCTAGCTCTAGGGTGCAGGTAGAGTTGCCAGGGAGGAGTTGAGATCCATGCCATGTGCAGGAGATCGTAATGGACACCGATGACGACGACGATGATTTTGAGGCTTGGCGCGTCGGTGCCGAGGGGTCTCGTGTGAATTGGCGTTGATCGACCCCAGTCTCAAATCTTGTTCTTAACCCGATGGCATGATGTAGTTTCTGAGGAGTTATTGAGCCGGTTGAGTGCGAAGCCGCAGCAATGACACCGTGGCGTGCAGGCAGATGAAAAGGGTGCATTTGAGGTCGGAGCCATGCTGAGCCGTGCTGGGCTACTGCAAGTGGTGGAAACCACGCGTCCCTGAAATCGGGCAGTCGATCGGCAGGATGACGACGAGGAAGATGACGATGTTCTCTACGAAGAGGTGCAGCCGTTCTCCAAGTGTGACACAGCAGCATGGTTCACAGCAAAGGGCTGTCATGCACTGCCATGCACTGTGCATGTCCTGTCGCAGGATGAGCTGGACGACACCTACTTCACAAGGGACGAGGAGCGCTGCCGTGTAGCAAAGCAAGAGTTTTGCGCAGTCCTGGTTGACATGTGTCCGACTTTCTGAACCGGTGCAGGATGGGGAGGTACTGGAAGCCAAGTGCAGGGCGCGCTACTTGAAGGCTGTGGCTATCCGGGAATCGCAGTGGTTCGGGGTCGCATTTACATGGTTTAATCTGATCAGGGCTCACCCTGGAAATTTCGCCGAGTCCTTTGGCAAATCCGCGGGAGGCGACGGCGAAAGAGTGCAACAGCAGCAGCACGTTGTTTGAGTTGTCGCGCAAACCTTCGAACAGACACAGGCCATACCGCGAAGCTTTGATGCTGTTGGAGATGGGCCCTCAGCTTCAAAGCATCTTGAGCCCGGATGACTCAACCTTGGTTTTGCAGTGTTTCGGAGTCTTCTCTGAGAGGTTCATGCCTTGGCGAGCGTGCAGACCGACCTTGGTCGTCTGAGGCCTAGAAGCTATGGTCTATGGTGCGCTCAGCGCGCGCATGTAGCACCAACCAGCCGCTTCGAAAACCCACCGAGGCCCTGCAGTCTGCAGCTGCGAACGCTCAGAATCAGTTCAACATGGACTGTCTCCTGCTTGCCGGTTCAAGCATGTAGCAGTCCACGACATAACTACATGACACCGCTTGTCTTCGTGGCCTGTACGTCGTACGCAAGGCGGCGGTGGAACTGTTAATCGACCACAGGATAACTGAAGGCTCTTCCAGAGATGATGGGGTCGGCGATTGATGTACCTGCACACACAGGATAGATGCGTACAAAATATTAATGGAAAATAAATGTAAACATAGTTCCCTTGTGAAGAAACAGGTATGAGTCATGTGGGTTTGTCCGCTGCGCATGATGCATTTAGCAGCTGAAGTGCTCTTTCCGACTTTGGCAACACTGAATGCCGCTTTCGTGACGGTGCGGTGTTTTCTAGCATCGCTAGCAGCCAGCTAGGATTTCGACACTTGCTGATTCAAGACTGCGGACAGCACCTAAACACGAAACATAAGCTCACACCCTTCGATGAATCGCGTGCAACCGCCCAAGATATTCGCTTCAGCACGTTAGCTGCTTTTGCTCATGTTGCGACTCTGAAGATCGAACTTCAGCACAAGCTACTGTGAATTCTGCTGATCCGCCATGTCTCCAGAAAGCCCCTGCTCACGGAAGCCGAGTGCGAGTGCAACAGTTCGCATCTTTGCCACTTTCGGTCAACGCGTGCACTGGAAGATGCCGGCCGCCACCCCGTCAGCTTGTTTCTGCAGGCATGACCCGTGAAATCGTTCCTCAGCCCCTTCAGGAGACCAAACTTTGCCGGATCAGTCTATTTCCTAACAATTCCAAGCTTTCTGGACGCCGCGCATAATATCGAATCGAGATGCCTTGTGCTGAATAGTTGCCTTCGTTCAAAGAGTTGATCAGTTGTTGACGTGGAAGGGAGGAGAAAGCAATCAATGCTCGAGGCGCAACATCTGTGCCATGCAAGGCATTCACATTTTGGGGAAACGGTGAGTGTTGTTGTCGTTGAACGAGAGAGATACCTCGAGCAACTGTTCAACTTGTGTTCAAAGGCTTGATGAAACTCTGTGTTAGCTTGTGCATGAAAGGACGCGTCCTTGCGTTTGTCGACGTGTGCCTGCTGGAGTCGCTAGAGTTTCAGAAGTGCATCCATGGTAACCAAGCCCCGAGTGTGTTCCATTGGCCATTTATTTGACACGCTGTCTTGGCGGATCGAAGTCCTGCATTGTTGTCGTGCCATTTGCTGGATGCAAGCGGTCGTATTCGTGCCCTAGTTTGATGTCGGGGTTGCGACATCATTCTTCAGTTTGTCAGCAGCATACACCATCCCTTGACATCCGGATAATGACGACAATCCGTCAGGACTTCTCTTGTCCCATAAGGACCCTTTCCAACTGTCCTTTGAGTCATAGCTGTTCTGGACCTCTGGCGGCATTTTTCCTTTCTTAGGATCCGGGGCGCGTGGCGCAACACTGTGCAACATTTACCCACAACGGAAAGTCAAGGTCTGCCGTGGCTCTTGGAAGCTTGAAACTTCGCAGGACAAGTCGCGGCTCTACGTCCACAGCTGCAAGGCCGATCGTGGGCCCTACTCCAAGCGCATGCGGCCGCGGCCTTGGATGACCGTTGCAGAGTCTGCTCAACGATTGCGTGCATTTGGCGGGATGGCACATCTTCTGTAGCTTTCATGCACGTGTGCTCTGTGGACTGAGGCCTGTTTCAAAGGGTCAGGGTCATCCGTACCGACGGTGACGCGGCTGCAGCCAGCTGCCGTGCCTGCTGTGCTGCCAGCGGGTTTCTTGCGCCAGTCTTCGTCTTCATCTTGAGGCGGCAGACACACTTGGAGATCATCCTGCGAGAAATGTCAGACGAGATGATGGCCGCAGTCTTGGTGGGAAGTTGGAGTGAGGGCATACGCTGTCGTTGCCTTCTCTGACTGACTCGTCGTGTTCCTGAGATGAAGAGTGAAGAGTTCGCCTGAGGGGGCGGCATTCGCAGTAGAATGGAGGTGTCGGCTCGGCTCAGCCCAAGCTAAGCCCCTCTCCACATCTCTCCCACGCCTCCTGCATGAGAAGCCCCCACCTAGCTGACAGCTCACCCTGCTGCGAACTGTGACTGCGCGCTGCAGGATCATTGAAAAAAGGCAGGCCATGGAACGTGCGTTTCTGAAGGCCGTCTAAAAAGTGTACAGAGCACAGGCCCAAAATGTCATGAGTTTGGAAGCACAAAGCTTAAGTTGCTGCACTTCCTTGCCCGAGCAGAAGAACTCGACATACGACTACACCGGCATGCAAACTGCCTTTATTGCCAGCACATGTGCAAAGCGTCTTCTCATGGTGCAGTATGCATATAGCAATGGTCTTCATCCTCATCCGGTCAAGCTGTCAAACTGCATGATGCACTACTTTTTTGCAGTCGAATCCTCTTAAGGTATTTGTAGTAGACTTTGTATGCAGACTCGGAGACATGGTCGGCACTGTCGCAACTGAACCGGCATTGCAACATTTTACTCTCTCACGCAACGAAACTCCGGCACACATGCAGACACATGCCTGTGGCTGTGGGAAGATGTGGAGTGCATCTCGAGACTGAGAGGCGCGGTGAGCTGAGCATCGGAGGTGCTGCGCTTGTATCCTAGCAGAATGTTTGTAAGCCAGAAGCCCAGGTGGGAGAAAGGCCACAGGACGCGAGCGAGTCGAGAGGCGACGTCAAGGGTGCGTGCTGCCTTTCTCGGTCACTGAAGGCTCAGTTTCCTGAGGCAGGAGGCAAGCATCGATGTAAGTTCGGAAGGACGTTGCGACAAGGTCTTGCGCCAGTCACGCGCGACCGAATTGGCTATTTACGGTTCAAAGAGTGTGTAGACCGGTCGATGCAGTCGGGACGCAGCCACTAGCCGGGTGCCGGGTGTCTTGGCATGGCCATGCTCAAGGCCACGGTGAGGCCGCGGCCCATCTATGTGCACTTGATCGCGGCATGCCTTATTGGACTCGGCATGCAGGCCTTTGCTGGCTTTCCTCGGTCGCAGTCCCATCAAGAAACTCGGCCAGGGGCGTTGCGGCAAGCAGTTCCCATGACCGGAAGTTCAGGCGGAAAGGGCGGTGTGCTCCAGGCCTTCTTTATGGGGAAGCGGGTGGATTGGTCGCCGGCACTCGACGTGGCAAGCAAGGCGGTGGAAGTGGGCGGCGAGATGCCCTTGGGGGTCCGCTTCGAGCGCCGGGAAGATGGCGTCTCACGAAAATTGAGAGTGTTGAGCTTTTTTAGGTGTTTAGGTGCTTAGGGTTTAGCGTTTAGGGTTTAGGTTAGTTTGAGGTCCTTGGTATTTCGGATGTCGGGGGACTTTCGGTTGACGTCTGTCTTAAAGTCTCCGAGCCTCTGATGCTGCAGTGCGCAGCGGGTAGCGCTCATCTAGGTGCCTTTGTCATCACTGAGATCATCGGTGGCGGATCTGCTTCCGTGGGGGAGCTGGACGTGCAAGTTGGAAACATCATCCATGCGGTCAGCTGCTCCGTGGGTGGCAAAAAAGAGATAACGAGCGCCTTCGAGGTTGATACCATTGACAAAATGTCCCAAGCGATCCTGTCGAACGAGGATGAGAGGGTCCAGATGTTAGTCGAGAAGCCAGATGAAGGTGCCGCTGGCTCCATCAGCTTCTTGACCGATGTGGCGACGAAGTTCTGAGCATGCGTGGCATAGCAGCCTCTGGGCTGCACCAAGCAGATTCGGAATCGGAGAGAGTCACAAGAGGCAGAGGGGAAATGCCAGGGTCACCGTGTGTTGTGTTCGATTCATAATTTTGGTTCAAGACTACAAGGACAAGCCGAGCACACGTGAGGAAGAGGGAGGTCGAAGCTTTCAAGCGTGGCGGGTTGTTGCCTAGGCCTAGGTCCTGGCGCAGAGCAGGATGGGGATTTAGGGGTTAAACTCCGTCTTGGCTTTTGGAATTCGGCTTCCCTCGCCCTTTGCAAGGTCAGAGTCTGCAGAGCTTGTGAAGACAGGAGTCGAACTAGTAGTGAGGAGGCCATCCGTAGGCCTTGTGGTTTCTCTGTATCTGTGTGTAGTGGCGTAGCGGTGTAGCCATGTAGGCGCTTTTCTCTCTCCTTGAAACACAAGGAGAACAGTTTCAACAGACCGACAACTCCAAAAAGGTGTTGTGCCAGTTTGAGGGAGGAGGCATGTCTCATGGGTTTTCTTCATGCTGCATCTGCAGGCTGCCTCTCGCCGCTCAGAGGAATCTGTGAGACACGGCCTCTATGGACTATGAGCCCGCTTTGGGCTCGGCATGACCTTTTCAATTGCCTTCTGAAGCTGTTGGCAGTCAGGATGGGACGCAAGAGCTGCTGATTGACTCGTCCCAGGAGCCCCTGAGCGAAAGCGATTAGCGCTCGAGAGCCCCAGCCGCCTTTGCAGGAGAGAACTGCGAGACGCACCGAGCACCTGCTAGTGGCAGCAAGGCGTCCCTGAACGTACCGGCACGTCGTGCATTGCCCTGAACCCAAAACCCCTAAATCCCAACACCCAGAAAAACCCCGAAAACCCCCAACTCCCGAAACCCTTCCCTGTGTCAGGTTGTCCTTCTTTTTCTTCCACGGCCTCCTCATCATCTCGGCCTCCCTTGGCTTCGAGGCAAAGAGCTCTCCGGCTCTCGGGAAAGGGTGTAGGGTTTAGGGCTTAGGGTTTCAGTGCTGGAATCTAGAGTCTAGATGTAGTGTCAGTAGAAAAGCCTTGCAATCGGCATCTGCGAACCTCTGAATCTTTAGAGCGGCGGGGCTGTGAACCAGGAGAACTCTAAAACAACGAATCTGTGCTCTCAACTCGGGTGAAGAGTCCTGAGCCTCTCATTTCATGACCGGAACCACTGCTCTGCAAGAGGCATTGCAGACAGATCTAAGCAACCCAAATTCATTGATGACGCGCCGCCAGCGAACCTCGAGTCTCTTTCTGCAGTGTGGGGTGCCTTAGCGAATCCGCGAAGGCACGTGGTGAGTCGTCTTCTGAACTCGCAATAGTCCCCTATTCAACACTTGTCATGTCCAACTTCTGGGCAAGCCTATGCCAGGAAGTGTCGTGGTGGCTGATCTTTACCCCTGCGTGGTCGCTGCCTTGACTTGATGCCCGAGCATCCAACACTTGACGTGTTTTGCCCGAGGCTGGGAGATGTGGTTTGCCTCGTGCTCGTGATTCTCTCCTGGTTTGGCTCTTGCCCGTCCGATCTCAAGATTCGAGCCTGCATGTCGATATGTTGTGATCTGTTGTTGTCATGTCGTTGCTGAAATGTTGGAGGTATGTCCAATACTGTCTGCAAGAGCGGCAGGCCGCATGGGGCTGGGTCCATGCTGGGAGCCTTTCAGAAGCTCATCTTGCTGGTTTGCAGATCAAGTCTAGAGACCCGTGAATCGAACTTTCGTCTTTCTGAAGCCTCCTTGCATCGTTACGGTGGTTCCGCTGTCATCCTGCGTGCATTTTTTGTCCCTGTGATAGATCTGTGGCTCCACTCCCGGGCCCTACCTCCGTCTCCCTGGCTGCTACCCTCGGAGCTTCGAATCTCCGGGCGTCTGACTTGATATGCTTGATTTCATGTTCGCTGGTTTTGAGTTGAGGGATATCCTAGCCATCTTTCGGATCTCTCCTTCTCGGGAGTCAGGGACTCGTGGCCGTCATTCCTTTGAATCACTAAGGTTGGCAACTTCTGCTGTCAAATTCACTTGCTCGCTACAGGAGGATGCGCTGCTTGTTGTTGCCGCTTGTGCGATGCGGTTTTCCAAGTTGTTCATGTATGAGGCCATTCCTCAATCACGCGGATGGGGCCGAAGTGAGCAGTGGAACTGCTCTTGTCCACGCTTTCCGCAGATCCTCATGACAGTTTGTCGCATTCGCGGTACTCGTAGCCTCATGGCTGTGGACTCTTCCTTGGCTTTGGATTTGCGAGCTTCCGGTGATGTGCTCGTCGACTCTGCCATGGGAAGCTCTGACCGTCGCGAAGGTCCCCTAAACATCCCTAAACCCACACCACAAAGCTTAAACCTTTCCCCGAAAGCATAAAGCCTAAACCTTAAGCCCTAAAGTATGATAATTATCATGGTCGGAGTGCAGCTTGAATGCAGCCAGGCGCGGCTTGGAGACACAAACCCGAGCATTCTGACGGACATCCTCCCGGACATAGGAGCCTGGGGCAGTGATGTTGACTGGAAGTCTGATGTTTTGGTGACTTCATGGCGAAACTTGGCATCCTAGCTTTATGCATCTGCCTGCTTTGCCAGTCATGGGCATCTTGTCCCTCATTTACATGCTTCTTGCTCTTGTGGCGGAGCTCCTCCTGTGCAGGCCCGGTGGGCCCGTTTTAGCGTCAGCTTGTCGCTGTTCCCTGAGCTGCGGTGCCTTGTGCCAGATACCTCAGCGAGCTGAGTCACGGCTTCGATGCGGTACCCGTGGCACCGGTAACAGCCAAACCGGCCAGAGTTGCCTTCAGACATCTGGCTTGTGCTGCACTTTAAAGCACCTCACCCCCATGCTTGCGAACTCACGTGCCTGTAAATGTCCCACGACCCAAAGACTGATCTTCATCTGCTTGCAGGGGCCTGTGAGTTCGTCTTAGCAGGCATGTCTCCCACTACTGACTTCACATTACGCCTTCACCATGCCCTCCGTCCTGCCACGACTGTTCTGCTTGCAGAATTTGTCAGGTCATCATGCTGGTATCGATCTTGACCTGTTGTCGAGGCCGGCACAGACTGCGGAGCTCTTTAGTCGTATGTTTGAGTTGAAAGCAACACACGGTTCCCTCTTGCAGGACTCTGCATCTTCACCGTCGTCCTGTCACGTTTGTAGGTAGTCTCGAGTAACATCTTGCTGGAGGCTGAACCCGCGTCGCCGTGTCATGTCGAAAAGTCGAGAATCCAACACCGTGCAGCACGAAGCGTGGTTCATGCCCATAAGCTTATCAGGGATCATGGTCACTGCGAAAAGGCCGATAGAGCCCGAACCAATACAGCGGCTCTCCTGCCATCAATAGTTTGACTCGTGCATGTTGCGGTCGCCATACACTGAGTCGTCGTTCTTTGTCGTATTTTCGAGTCCGAGAGGCCGACTGAACTCTTTGCGGTGACGCAGTTTCCGGGACTTGGGGCTTTCGTACCAACTACTCGCGAGGGTGCGAGGCGGTAGTTGGGATGCGGGAGGGCTGGATTCCAGGCGCCTTAGCAGGTCCTGGAGGGCTGGGACGAGGCTGGGGGAGGGGAGGGAGACGGACATAAAGGATGGCTTGATACAACCTCGCCCGTGCCCGAAGGCACAAGGCCTCGGTGGACTCCCTGAGCGACAGTTTTTCAGTGCCTGAGATCAGTAGATGGAAGCTTCTTGTTGCACCTCGGACATGACTGCATGCCATGAGCTGCTGGCCTGTAGTCTTGTCGGAGCGACGTCGCCCCGCTCTGCAGCACCCTTTGAAGGATGAGTTCCTGTCGTCAGCTTCTGCTTCTCCTGGCTGCCGAGCGCCGCATTGTCTTCGAAGCGGTAGTCGTTTTGTCGTGGAACGGAACCTTTGACCGTCATACCCTAAAGTCACTCCGCTCTCCAGACGGCCTGGATGAAGCTGCACGTCCGATGCATGTGGTTTCACGCAGATCACATGCCATCGTCTATGCATTTTCTCATGGGTAGTTGTCAAAATTATGGTCCCTTTTGGGGTACCCTTAATAATAGGTGCCGTATTATAATAAGGACCCAAAAAAGGGACCCTAATTTTGACAACCACCCATTTTCTCATGCCAGAACAGTGCTCTCTTCTGTTGCATCGGCTTGGCGGTTGCGGCCTCGGAGGGCGAGCTTCAGGCCTTCCCATTCTTCGCCTCCCAAGTCACCTCCCGGGTCCCCGAACCACTCCCAGGATCTCGCAGGCTTCTCCTGCTTTTTTTTCCGGATGCTGAGGCTCTGTCTACTTGTGTGCTCTTGCTGGTCACGGAGGATGTGCCGGAAAGCCCAGCTTCTTGAAAACCTCGCGAAACGGGACGAATCGCCAAGCGCGCGCGTCTGTTCGAAGATGTTGCTGAGGCCAGGGCCGACTTGGGAATGGAGCTCAGCTCATCCCAGCCATGTGGCGGCGAAAGTGCTAAAGGTGAACTTATCGCCTGAGGTGCTCTTTGTGCCATGGGCAGCCGCCGCCCTTGTCTCGGAGATCCTGCACGGTCGAAGTGCTTGAGCTCAGTGTTTGTCAAAGATGCCTCGGCTCGGTAGAGTGATCAGGTTCTTTGCCTCCTGCTCTCTGCCATATGTCAGCTGCAGCGCTGCCGCTGCATATTGTGCCGGGAGGAGCTCCGCGGAGTTCCAAGTGTCTGGTGCCCTGTGATCTTTCGAAGCTCGTGCGTGAGGAGCTGATTCTTCGGATTCTGGAGTTGGTGGTGTTGACGTTAGCCTGAAGCACAAGTGGGCCAATGGAGTTCCGCTGTGCCGAAGCAGCTTCGATGTCCTGTGCTACCCCACTGCAAGGTCTTGACGTCTGTGCTGGCCGCAATCGTTGAGCTCTCGCAATCCCTCGCTCTAGGCGCAAGCTTTAGCAAACAGCATCCCGCACAAAGAAGAGCAGCTTGTTCATCCAGTGAAGCACAGTCACAGGCATTGGAGATAGCAATGTGGGAATGGCGGGTATCGTGGCAGGGACAGGCCTGCTTAGTGTGCAACGAGGAAGTGCAGGTTCAGAGCCTTCGGTTGCCAGGTATTTGTGCGCTTGCTCTACTGCATGCGCGGATGGCCGTGGCCGAAAGCAGGCCGGTGTAGATTGAGCGAAACACTGCAGACTTGCATGGGCTTGTGAAGGTTTGGCGCCATCAGCGACCGGCTCTTGATTGCTGAGATGAGATGTGGCGAGAACGTGGCAGCCTTGAGAGTGGCATGCTAACACTTTCAGAGCCAACTCAATCCCTGAACCCTAAACCCTAAACCCCATTAGAGCTCGAGGCAAGCCTACCAAGCTCCGTCGCCTCTGTCCATCTGGAGGTCAGCGGCGTCTCTTGCTCAGCCATGCTGTGTTCAGAAGGGCTCAGAAGTCCGAAATCCCTGAAGCCTAGGGCTTGGCTGTTGCCTTGAAGCTTTGGGGTTCCGGCCAAAGCTATCCACCCTAAGATGTTAAGGATGCCGTGTTGAAAGTCGCACATCATAAAGCACCTGCCACGGATCCGACTGTTGTGCAGCTGGGCATGGAACGGGATGCGTTGTACGTCGTTGTAACGCTGACAGAAGTTCTGAGCGCAAGCTGAGTTAGGCCATCGGTGCAGATGTCTGACGGATCAGAGTCTGTGTCACGCCGTCATGCATCCGAGGACCTCTCCTTGTCAGCAGCGGCAAGAAGTGGTAGCGGCTGGCAAAGCGGGCGAATGGTTCGCCGGGTGCCCCAGAATGTCACGACAGCAACGCCCAGCAACAGCAGTTTTCGGCAAACGGTTCGAGTCGATCGCTCCTTTCGCGGTTTATGGTTGTCCCCTTGTCCCGGGCCTGGGAAAGACTTCGACAAAGTTGCAGGATACATGTAGCCGTCGTCGGTTGACCCGCCAACCCACCAATAGCAAATCCTTTGCAAAAGTTGCATTCCTACTGCCGTAAACACAAAACCCTAAACCCTAGGAATTATTGCTACCCGTGCTTCATTTCACGGTTCAAGTTCGGTCGCAGCAACCAGGGTTGAAGGCTTATCTAACATCCTCCCTTTCCGGGTGTGGGGCTTGCCCACCATCACTCCGCGTTCGCTAGGGCCGGGTAGACTTTTCGAGGCTTTACGGCTTGAGCAACATCACAGCTTCAACGGTTCAGGTTTCCTTCAGCAGTGCTGCACTTTCTTTTTGGGGCTCCCCCTCGCACACCAACTGCTTGAAGTGGAGTGCGAAGTTTGGAGAATTCCAGTTTGGCGGTTCTTTTCTTAATGCATGGATATGGGGCATACTGTAGGTGCCCGATCGCGCACCTTCGGTGTGTGCGATTCTCCGAAGTTGTTACTCAAGTCTTGCAGTATTGCCAATATTGTGATGTCCGACTCTTGTCGAAAGCTCAGTCCGCTTGCCTATTTACTGCCTGAGTTTCGCCGTAGCCCCTTGAGGTGTGGCTGCATCAACAGCAGAGCAAGAGTTGCTTGTTAAAATGCCATTGCAACAGCGCTGAAGGTGTTGTTTGCCCACCTGATCCAGAGGCAGGTTGCGGATTTGAAGCAGAGATAGCGTGGACTGCACCAAAAGCGATGCACATAGAAACGATAGGACTGTCGGAGCAATCGACTGCTTCCATGCATCCATCATGTTGTACATAGTTCGGAATACACGGGCCATGACTACGGCTGGCAGGTAGGCGATGCAACGTCGAACAGCGCTGCAGCCTCCGCCGAAGCGACATGATCGCTGAAAAGAGCTTCGAGTCCGCATCCATCTGCATCAGCTGTTCTTGCAGCGTGACCGCTTGCGTGTGTATTTGTACTGTTTAAGCGAGTTTGCAATGTTGAATGCTCGCCGACCTATGCTAAGCTACTTCGTCCGACCTAATGAGGCTGAGAACTATTCCCTAACCCGAAACCCCGCGGAGTGTTGCACCCTGGGGCCGGGACCATCACGTCCTCAAAACTTGGAGCGTATATCCGCAGAGCCGAGAAACCGTAAACCGCTAGACCCTAATCCCTTTTGTAACATATGTACATACATATATATATATATATGTATCGTATAGGGTTTAGGTAGGGCCTTTGAGCCGGTGGAGCCCGTGGCCTCGGTGCAATGACACGATGCCCACGGCCATGCCAGTGATCCAGAGCGGTTTCTGGCAGGATGGAGGTGGTGCGGATTTCTAGGGTTCCGGGATTCCGATTGCGATGGCAAATTGCAGACGTTTCTGTGGCCTCCAGCTGCAAGCTACAGTTTCATGTTTGAAGTGAACGATGTGAGCCGCATTCAAGTGAAGGCTCACAGGCCAAGGCACTTTCAGGCAAAGTCTTCGAGCCAACGCTGGCAAGACTCATTCTCTGGTATAGACAGGAAGGCAGGCGACCCACCCGATCAGAGCGGATAGCATCAACACAACCGAGGATTGAACGAAATGACTTGAGGTAAAGCTTCATGAGCAAAGCGGCGGGGGGACTTTGAATCCCAGCCAAAACGCTGCAAGCCCGTACGCAAAGCATGCTTCACAGTGCCGGACGACAAACGGAGCTGGTCGCACCGACGCGCGCTGCCGACCTCATGAAAAGCTTGTCAGCATCGTGGCATATCGTGGCTTTGAAAACAGCCCTTCGTGTCGTCGTTCGTTTTCAGGCTTCTGCCTCGTGTGTAGTGGGCGCGTTGCTCTTGAAAACTTCTGCCCAGTGCTGACCTGGAGGCGTGCTGACATCCTTCGGAGTTTGCCCTGCGCCTGATGCCAAGGCTGCGTCTGCGAGCTCGCTGACGGAGACAGATTAACAACTCATGCCGCGTTTGATGTGCCTTCCGAGCAGTTAGTTGTCGCTTTCCCTTGCAGCCTTTGGATGAGCAAGCGCCGCCGTGCTTGGAGAGCGGCCAGGAGCAGGGAATTCTGGATATAGTGCCCTTGTGTTGTGCAGGAACGGCTGTTTTTGAGTATACAGAAGTCCTGTGACGGGACAGCGTATCGTGTGAGAAGTGATCTTCCAAGGCACAGGATCAAAAGGACACATGATGTTCGACATGCCATGACACACATGTATATACGCAGCTTCATGAACAATTACATGATAGCTTTGACAGACATTGTGCTTCGAATGCCTGGTCTAGGAGTTTTGCAGCTTCAGGGGTATCGATTAAACGATTGTGGGTTCTGTAGCCTTTGGCAGCAACAAGCCACAAAACCAGAAACAGTTCCTGTGGCCGGAGGAAGGGGTTGGGGGGCATAGGTGTGTGTGTGTGTGTGGGTGTGTGTGTGTGTGTGAAAAGCAAGCAAGAAAGGAATAAAGCAGGATATCGACATATACATGTATACCTGTATGTGTACATATGCACATATACGTACATATATTATGTATCTAGCTACGCATGCATGCATGCATGCATGCATGGATGGATGGATGGATGGATGTATGTATGTATGTATGTATGCATGTATGTACGCATGTATGTATGTACACACGCATACATACACATGTATATATAGACATATGTATGTATGTGTATGTATATGTACATACATATGTATATGTATATGTATATGTATGTATACGTGTATACACACATACACTTGTTGCCGAGCTTGCCAACCGCACAGATAGTGTCTTATCAAAACATGGCTACGGACTCATCGCATACGACAGGTCATTCGGGGTATGTACTATATGCACTGACTCTGAGACCCGCTTGAGCCCGAAGCTTTCCTGGTGGTGGACAATATGGCGGCTGTTTTCTTCGAACATCTCCAGTCAGACCATATACCCTGACGCCAAGAGATAGAACAAGTTATGCAGCACGGGGTCAATGATTCCCCAAGACGACCGCACCATCGGAATGTGGTATCAAGAGAGGACGCTCTCATGACGCACCTGCCGCTATGTTTGCTTGTTTTGCATGGCAAGGGGTTAAGCCAATAACCCCAATTTTGAGTGATTCGAATGACCTGATATGATCGAACAAGAGACAAACACAGAGAAGAGAAGATGAAAACAAACGAATCTAGCTCGATAGCCCGATATATGATTTCGATGAGATCAAGGGTCAATCCAAGTGTGTGTGTGTGTGTGTTAGGCTTAGCAGCCGTTGAGGGCCGTTGCCATCAGGGGTATTTTTGTGATTTTCTGGCATTGGCAGGAGTGCTCAACCCTGGCCGAGCGGTCCGGGCTGAAGAAGTTTGTCAAATCGGTTGACGAGAGCCTCAAGGCACCTGTCGGAAAGTCCCCACTCCATGGTGCAATAACGCAGTCTTGCCAGGATGCCGTGGAAAACGCAAAGGAGGCCCGCAAACGCTTTGAAAAACGGGTCTCCTGGCTGCACAGCAAGGGAACTGAACATGCCAGAACACTTGTCCGGGGAAGCAGCCTTGTTAGTTCAGGTTTGCGACTTCCGATATGCTGAAATCGAGGAGCACACTTCTTATTGTGCCTGATTGATTGAGATCTGCTCCATCCGTCTGCCTCTTGAATAGGGGCGTTGCAAACTCTTCCATTGCACTTCCCTTTGCTGTGCACAAAGCGGCGAACAAGAAGACAAGATGTTACCAGCCAGTCAGCGCCCACCGACCTAGCAGCCGCGATATGCTCATAGCTCAGGGCCTGGGTGGGCCAGAGCGCAAGAAGCTGCTAACCTTGCCCTCGCGAGGACAAAGGACAGGTGCTTGCAGATGCATATGGTCGGAACCTCAGACGATTCAGCTTGAAGTAGAGATGACTGCATGCTCAACTCATCGCGTTAGATCTTTCCGCAGCCATTTTCGCGTCACGGCTTCGGATTTGGCCTGGTGTAGGTCAATGAGCAGCTGGCAGATGCCGGCAGCGAACGCTTTTCAACGTATCTGCAAGACCCACAATGACCCACGAGTCGCCAGTCGCCATGGAGCCAGCTGAGCCAGCTCGCCACGACGTTCTGCACACCTGTTTGCAGCGAATTTCAGCTGCTGAGGACATCCTCCTTCCGTTTTCCTTGGGTGCTGTTAGGCTTAGGCGTGTGCAGAGTCCAGGAACTACTCAGCAACATGCGCCATGCTGAAGAGATCATTGCAGGCACAGGCCTCAGCAGGCAGTGATTGCTTACGGTCTTGAACTCGCAAGGCTGCAGAAGTAAGGCTAGAGGTGCTGCCTGTGAAGGTGTGCGGAAGAGCCTTCATGGCCTGTGTGGTCAGTCCCAGCTGAAGTTGGCCGACACACGCCAGGTGGAGCGGCAAGACACCGTGCAGGGTGTTAGCGATTCTTCGCAGTGAAAGCTGCAACCGTGGTCTTCAGCGTTGTCTCAGGTACCTCCAGACTTCCAGCCCGAGACGCTCGATCCCGACAGCGCACCGCCGCCATGCCCGAAGTGGCCGCCGCATCCGCCTGTGAAGGCACAGCGGCAGACACCTCGTGGCTGCTTGAGTGCTTCTGGCGGCTGCAGGTGAGTGCGACTGCACCGATTGCAGTGCCCACTGCGCTGCCGTTGAAGGCGCAGGCGACTCGCGGCATGAAGAATCGCAGAGTCCTGGCCCTGAAGCCGTCTGGTCTCCTGTGCGAATGGACCAGGTCGTTCTTGAAGCCCTCCGAGAAGATAACAAAAGAAAGGTGAATGCAAGGAGAGGGCGGGACCTAAACCCTAAACTCCAAAACCTACACCCTCTACACCCTAAACCCGGGTCGAAGTATCGCCTAAAGCTGCCAAAGCCCTCGGAAGGATGGCTGCAATCTCCAGGGCCGAGACGGCCGCGGGCATTCCAAGCAAAGCGGCAGCTCGCCTTCAGTGAAAGTCTCTGCTCGGAACTCTCTTCTAGTAGAGCAGAGTATTGTATAGTATAGTAGAGCATGGTATAGTTTAGGAGAGGTATTATGGGATTGGATAGGATTGGGTTGGATATAAATACAAGTTATACATCAGCAAAAAAAAATATATATATATATATATGGTATCCCCCCAGTATATATATATATATATCATATATATATATACACCATATATACATATATACACATACATACACACATTCATATACATGTAAGCCTGCCCGTCACATCCACAGGTCTCCACTGGCTCCGTCTTCAGTCTTTATCGCGAGAGCATTGGCAGCAGTGGAGGGCTAGCCGTAATCATGAGAAGCAAGGAGGCATGCGTTCGGCATCCTTGGCCGACTGCCATCTCGTCGCGGTTGTGTGTCCGTGGTCGACAGTGGGGGCCTCTGTTCTTACTTCTGCCTTCACTGCCGTGACGAGGCCTTCTCGTCCCGCGGTGGTGCCGGAGATGCAGAGTTGGGACTGGGCGTGGACTCCAATATGGCCAGAAGGACCGGATCAGGCTTTGGGTTTAGGGTTTAGGGTATCGCATATGGCTGCTCTCGCACGAAGGACGCATCCACCTCCCCATTCTCAATCCTGACAGCCAGATTCGCTTGGCCTGGGACGTTGCCGGTCTCGCCTTCATATGAGACTCGGCAGAAAGCATCACGAGCTAAACCCTAAACCCTAAGCACGAAGGAATCCACAAGGTACCACGAACCTGAGAGTCTTCAGTTACCACTTCAAGTTCCCTCCTCAGTCGTACGTGAAGTAAATCGCAAGTGGGACCAGGGCCATATTTCTCATGAACAGATCGAGCAGAAGTATGGTTCGAGATGGTTAGCTTTGTTCGGCTGTTTACGTACAGAGGGAGTTCCAGGAGTTCGACGTGTCTTTGGTCACATGGTGGAATGGGATGTCGAGAGCCTTGAGGAGGATGGGTGAGTGGATGCC